TGGATCTCCTTTGTAACCCACGGCACCATGCTTCTGTCCCGTGAGCCCCTGCTCTGCATTATCCATTACAGGGCGGGAGGAGGTCATGCCCGCCCAGCATATACCGGTGCCTGGGCCTTGTGCTGAGCACCGGGGGAGAGCCTGGGAGGAGCGCAAGACCCAGTTCTAGTGAAACCTCTTAAGTGCTGCCCCAGAGCAATGACACCTGTTCAGAGTGTGGAGCCAGGAGCACTGCCCCACGCTCACCCGCCCACCCAGCCATCCCTCGCTGGGCTTCAACACAGGCCTCCTGCGGCTTGGCCGTTCACGGGAAGGAGGCCCAGGCCCCAGCACTTTGAAACTTTTAAGTCAGGGGGAGCTTTTTCATCGGCTTTAATGGGAACCCTGCCGTGTGGGCACAGATAGCGCTAAACCCAGCACATGGTTTGACACAGTAACAAGGATAGTCACCAATACCAGCAAGCAGAGCCGACTGGGTCCTTCTGAGGGTCAGTCACTGCCTGCACTCCCTCGTCCCTGCAGGGCTGAGAATGGAGCCCCCCAGCTCGGATTGGGGGGGCGGGGGGCTATTGGCAGATCCGTGGGAAGGGAGAAATGAGAGCCAAAGAGCCCTTTGGTCTAATCACAGAAACAGCTCAACACCCCGGAGGTGTGTGGAGTGGGGCATGGGAGGAGGGAATGGGGAAATAGCACATGGCAGGCAACATGCTGTGGAGTGCTGAGATCAGGGCATCAAATGGATCTGTGCTCAGCGGAGCATGTGTGTGTGTTGGGGGATGGGGGAGAGCTGATGAACCTGTATCTTGGGGAGGCCCCCTCGGAGCAGCTCCATTTGGCGTAGTGGGAGGCTGAGGCTTGGCTAATGTGTTTCCTGACCAGATGTGTTTACGAAGGGGTTCCAGCTGTGCGTGCCCACAGCAGTCGCCTGCCAAGACAGAGACAACCCTGTGACCAGCGCCCTGGCTGATCACCACACTCTTTACCATGCAAGTGCCCCGAAGGACCCTGATTCTGATCTGAAGGGAATCACCCTCTTCTGCGAGAGACTGGAATTCAGCCCCCTGCTCTGTTTTTCTGATGACGTGCAAGGACTGCAAATAACCCCCCCCCCCCTCGCAGCAATTCTTACAAGAAGTTTACTAGCTAGCAGCTCTCTTCCAGCCCTCCCAAATCTCCAGCATCTCAGCACCTTCCGCTGTTAAACAATGGGATGTTTTCTCTGGCCCTCTGGCAGGGAGGGAGAATGCCCTTTGGGGAGGGAAGGGACTTACCTGCCAACCGATACTCCAATTTTCACAACACTCAAAGGATTACAAATGAACTGCAGGTTCGCTGGGGCAGTCGAGAGGTTGTAAATCCATGTCTTGCCTGTGAAAGAATGAGATAATTTTAGTAAAATAACTGTGTGTCTCAATAGCAGAGCAGCCTCTGGAGGCTCAATATAAGCATGTCTATTATTATTATTATTTTCTATTCACTAACACCTAATGCACTCAGCTAGGATCACACAGCCTTTGTGCTAGGCACTGTCCAAACACACAACAGAAGACTGTCCCTGCCTCAAAAAAGTTACTGTCTAAAAACAACACAGATGACCAGATACATCAGACATCAAATAGCGTTTTTTCCAGAATACAGAACTTGTAAGTTACAATTGGAATTGGCTGGAGATCAGAATGTTAATTTCATAAAAAAGAAATCGTTGTGATTGGTTTCATTCCAAACCAGAATGAAATGGCAAGAGTTGGACACTGTCCGTGCAACAACAATTTCAGAGTGTTTCCGATCTAATCCTGTTGACAGGAAAATGTCGACATTTTAAAAATGAAAACAAATAACATTTTTCAAGGGCATGAGAGCATGTGGGGGGTTTCCATTTTTGTTGCTGTTGTTGAGGAAAAGGAGAATTGCAATGAAATCTAAATGTTTTCATGAAACATTCTGCATTCTTTGAAATGCCCCTTTTTGTCAAAATTCGCTGTCTCTGGAAATATTTTGCCCAGTTCTGGTCACAATGTCTCCTGACTTTGCTCTTCACATAACAGCCTCCAGCATCTCCTCCATCAGCTGTCCTAGCCCGTGTCCTCTGACATGATGCCCCTCAATGCCGTACTTCCACTCTACTCCAAGAGGAAATAGTAAGCCCCTGCCTTTATTGGACCTCATGTCAGTTACAGTCCAATAGCTCCTGGGAGGAGCAGGGCATCTTAGCCACATCTGCTGAGTTGCTCCCAGACCATGCTGCTTTTAGGGACGTGACCAAGCACAGTCCCCATGTGGATATAGATCTGTGTCCATTAGCTCAGAACATGCCTTCCTGGGCAGTAAAGAGAGCAGGAAACCAAGCAGGGCGTCTCTTGCCATGGGCAATGCGAATCACAAGAAAACGCTCCGGGCCATCACTAAGGAAGTTGTAGTTGTGGGACTCCTGCTGGCTGGGCACAGAGCTGAGGTCAGTTGTGTACATATGCCGCCCACACCCCCTTTCCTGGACTTTGCTGAGGAGCCTCTTCCTATCTAGCTGTTTGTTACACCTGCTTGTTGTATCACCTCTTAAATTAATGGCAAACTCTTTGGGGCAAGCATTGTCTCTTATTATGTATTTGTAGGGTGCCTAGCACAAATGGGTCCCCAGTCCTGACTGGGGCCTGCAGTGACATTATAATACAAACAATAAGATTTCTGCTGGAATGATCTGCAAAGTCGTTTAACAAGTTGACTGTGCTGTCAACTTTAGCTTTCAGAGTTAACAACCCAATAATACAAATGAGGCAGTCAATAGCTCTCAAAGCTATTGTTTCAGGCTCTCTGCAGACTCAGGCAGACATCCCTGCATTAGTTATATTCAGGTCATCTTTTCAAGCTTGTCTTCACATCCATAAGAGTTGGAAACATTTTTTTAAATGAAAGCTTAAATGTGGGGGAAGGGAAGACGTCTGTGCTGCTGTGGAGTTGGAGAATACAAAGAGGGTCTTGCTTATCTGGGTCTTTCTGTGTGTTTGTAACAGCACCTAGACCAATGGGAGCTGATTCTGATTGGGGCAGCTGCATGTTTCCGTAATAGAGCTATGAACAGTATTCCACACTGCAGTGTTCAAACCAGCTGTCCTTCTCCCACCCCCGCCGTTGTCAATTGCTTCTCCTGAAAACATTCCCCATGATTGAACTGGAATAAAGCATGTGCAATAGACTATATTCCTGCCGGGTGGGAATTCACTGGTGCTGGCCAAAGAAGGGAGAGAATCTGGCCCGTTGTGACTGTGTGGTCCGTGTATTTGTTGACTTACTCATGCTCTTCTTCAAGGGGGGCCGGACAAACCCAAGCAAACATGCGCACCTAGGAACATTTTGGTGTTTTCACTCCAACCCGTCTCCTTCACATTTTTACATCTATTGGAAGTACCTGACAGCTGAGAGAGTTCTAGCTGCATTCCCCCCAGCCCCCTCTGGAAGCCCTGCCACACTCTGAGGGGCTAATTTTGCTCTGTGGATAGCTTTGTCCTCTTCAGCCATTAGTCAGGCAGAGCGATTGCTGCCTCCTGCCTTAAACAGCTGCAGCCCACCCCCCACCAGCTCCTCCTTTTGCTAGGACTTCACACAGCCCAGCAGTGAGGGCATCTCATTTCACAAGCTGTCAGTAGTGGTGACTGATGGCTGGCTCACTACAGGACACTGACATCAGCCTGTCTGGGGCTCCACTCCCAGTCTAACCCAGTAGGGGGCGCTGTAAGGAATGGGGTAGAAGCACTGGCTATTGGGGAGCTCCCCTCCACCCCAGTCCCAGGCTCTGCCAGCAGGGGGTGCTGTAGTGAATGGGGTAGAAACGCTGGCTATTGGGGAGCTCCCCTGTAGTCCAGTCCCAGGCTCTGCCAGCAGGGGGTGCTGTAGGGAATGTGCCAGCAGCTGTGGAACTCGTGGCAAATTCAGGCCTGAACTTCCTTTGCAATATTTGATTTGGCTTGGGTGACTCTGTTAGGGTGGGCAATGCCCTGCCTTCTCCACGCCATAGCCCAGACGTAGCCTGTTGAAGCAAAGAGGGGGATGCAGGGGTGGCGCAGGGAGCAGATCTGATTACCCAGGATGCCCCAGGCAGGATCCTTTACATGTGCTGGTTGGAGGTGAAGAAAGCAGTTAGTGTGCTGCCCCCGAGGGGCGTGTTTGGAGCGCATGACACTGGTACAATCCAGCGAAGAGAGAGAGGTGAGAGATTATAGACCTCAGGAGGGGAGCCAAGAGCACGGCTCCAGTTTCCCATTGGGGACCTGCTAATAAAACCCTCAGTTCCATGCAGGCTGAAAAGGGGGAGCCAGGCCGACTGTCTGCCTCCCCTCCCCAGCCCTGCCCTAGCCCCTCTACCCCACTCAGTCCAGAGCTGGGGAGCGCTTTGCCTGTGCTCTGCTTCATGGGGAGGGCTTGCTGGGCGGGGGATTTGAAAGGCAATGCAGCGGAATGCACCATGTAGTAGCACGGATGCTGTGGGGAGCGGTGCTGGGTTGATTTCCCAGACTGGGGGTCGCGCTAATCTTTCCCCCATTTGGGTCCAGGTGAGCTTCATACCCTCGCAATTCCACTTTGGATCTGGGCTCAAATCTACCATATTTCCCCTAGTGCTGGCTCAGACCCAGATGGGGGCCAGACCCAGAAACTTGGGCCTGGCTCTGCCCAAAGCTGGTCTCAGGCTTCTCCAAAACCCAGAGGCTGTTTGTGGGAATGCAGCCCCAGCTTGGACGGCGGGCGAGTTTTCTGTGCTTCCAAATCTCGTTGGGATGCAGAGATGGGCCCAGACCTGGTCCCCAAGGGCCCCAAAGTTCAGGGGAGGGTTTGAGCCCAAGGGGAGTCGTGTGGGCCCTTCGCTGTGATTTCTTTGCACAAGTCTAGACCCTGCTAGAAGAGCCGGTGGGACTGAACAGGAGGAGGCTGCATGGCCCTGGGTGTATGGGCTGGGGAGTCCTGCTCTAACTCTCCCACCCCCTCCTCTCTCCCTGCAGCACTGAAGAGGTCGTTCGATATGGAGGATGCTGAAGAGGCTCCAGCTGTTCTGCCTTCCTGCCCATTCGGCCCCAGCATGCCTGCAGACAGCCTAGCCGCGGGCAATGGGGAAAGCGGCCGGCTGGCCAGCCTCATGCCACCCACCCATCAATCCCGCATCAGCCTCAGCTCGAGCCCCAGCCCAGCCCAGAGCCCTGTGCTGAAGACCAGGATTAGCACCAGCTTCTCCTTCAACAGAGGCACCATCCAGCTGGCCAGGGCCAACGGCGCCGTGAGCTCCAGCCTGACCCGCGTCGCCTCTTTCCAAGCCAGGCTTGATCCCAATGGCTTCTCCTCCTCCTTAGGCCTGGGCAGCGAGAGCCTCCACAGCTCCTCCTCCAGCTTGGAGTGCCCACCACCCCCCAGCACACCCCAGAGTGCTGCCAGGCAGCCAGAGCCTCGGGGGCTCAAGGCCGCCCCGGTTGCCAGCCCGGCACTGAAGAAATTCTCTTCCCACAGTAATGTCTTCCATTCCGAGGTGGAACAGCCCATCCAGCTGGTGTCCAAGGTCGGAGTGAACCATGGCTCACTGCCCTCTCTGGACCTGCACATTGCCGAAGATCAGGGCTCCCCCATCCCACTCGCCCCTGCCCTGGCTTTTCACTCTGCTGGAGCCTGGAGCAGCGGCAGCCAGAACTGCACCTTGCTCCGAGGGAAGAGCAGCACACCCATCAGCAGGGAGCCTTCCTTCTCCTCCTCTTCCTCCTCTTCCTCTTCCTCCCCACTCTCCGATGCAGCCCAGCGGCCCAGTCTGAGCCCCCCTCCTCCACCCTTCAGGCAGCCGACAAAGCTGCAGAAATTCCCCATCAGCCTGGATGGTTTGGTGGGGAAGCCTCTGGGTGGCTCGGATCCAGTGCCGAGTGCTGACTCTGCGTCCAGACCGCTGCCAAGGACGCAGCTCCAGCTCAGCCTCAGCACCAGCCCCAGCCTGTCCCGGCAGCCCCCGGGTAGGGCCAAGGAGGGTGCAGCCGCAGCCGCTGTGAGTGGTGTCTCCGCAGCGCCGTCTCCGGGGAAGTGCCCAGGTGCCCAGGTCAATGAGAGCCCTTGGCCACCATCTCTATCTCCTGCTCAAGCTGCTCCCTTCAGGCTCATGTCTCGGCCTCAGATAATGCAAGTGACTTCGCAACCCTCCTTCCTTGGGGGCCCAGCAGCATGTTCAAGGGAACATGTCCGATCCATGGCTGAAAGAGTCAACTCCTTCTCCAGCTCTGAGGTCTCAAGCCTTGGGGCTCCTGCTCCCAGTTCCTACCCAAGGGAAGTCCCCTACGTGGGCCCGACAGGTTCTCCAATGGTCTCTTCTGTGAGCGAGGAGATGCAGGGCCGAGAGAAGACAAAGGAAGGTAGGACTTTTCTCTTTCTTATCTCTCTGGCTGTATTCTGCCCAACACAGCTTGAAGTCAATGAGAGCTAAGAATGAGCATCCAGGGCATAGCATTGCCCTGTGTGTTCAAGGCTGCCCTGTCAGATGTCTCTTCTCCTAACTCTGCCGGTGTTGGTGAAAGAAACTGACACCGCATGAGCTGGGATCTGTAGCTGGGAAGCACTGCCAGGCCCAAACAGTCGTTCTCTCTCTTTCCCTGCTTTCTCCAGCTGATGCTCGGAGGTAGCAGGCATGAGAAGGGCCTCAGCCAGGGAATGAGACGTTGCCGAGGCATTTGCCAGGCTGGTGCTGACGTACTCTCTGAGCCAGCCCTCGCTTCCCTGATCAACTGTTCCCCCAGCTATGGGGGCCAGTCCCGGGGGAGAGGTAGATGTGGGTCCAGATGAAAGGGCGCAGAGGGGGTTAGGGGATGCAAGCCCAAGGGCGTCTGTAAGTGGTGTCATGAGGGGTGGTTGTCCAATGGCTCTTATTGCTGGGACTGGGAACAGGGCCCCGTGGAAGTCTAACAGGTTAGAAAACTGCAGTGGGTCGGATGTGATGGGGGACTGAGAGGAGACTGTGCCTGCTGCATATACCCCAAATCCCACATGCTGGGGGGAATTAGATCCTGGGTTTCACACTACAGGCTCTGGTGAACTACAGTCAGTCTCTTGTCAGTAACTCGGTCCTGGGAACCAAAGCAGACTTAATCTAGACAGGCACCCAAGCCAACACCCGGGGTGTGAACACCCCTGAACTGGATCTGGAGTCAGATATGAGCTGGGCCCAGTCTCCAGATGAGCCAAACCAGCCTTTCTGACCCACATCCACCAACGTTCTGAGGCGCTCACCCCAGATCTTGGTGCATATCGTGGAGACCCAGTCAGGGCCCCTCCTCGCTGGGCGCTGTCTGCACCCCTCACGAAAGACAGCCCTGGCCCCAAGGACCTTACAGCCTGAGTATATAACACGAGACAACCAGTGGGTATAATAGACAGACAAGGAGCACAAGGCGACCACGAGACCATTCTGATTCAAATAAGTGTTGGGGAAAGGGGTGGGGGAAGATCGAGAGCTCTGTTTGGGCCATGTTGGTCTGGTCTGCCCTGACCTGGTCACAGACATCCCAGCTTACACCTACGTCTCATCTGTCCCCCATTTTCCTTCTCTCTGCCCCCTGGTGATGGGCAGTCCTCCTTGGGCATTTCTGCTGAGAAGGCAGGTCAGAACATGTGTGTTTTACCCCCGGCAAAACCCACGCCAGGGCCACATTTGTAATGTAACGCAGGGAACTCGCACCGAAGCCCCCCTCCTTTCCTTGACACAAGGACAGGAGCTGAACTCCTCCAGCATTGTTGCCTCATTTTCCTCCTCGGCCCTGGGGCTGGAGAAGGTGGCAGGTGACCAAACTGTGCCTTGCCATATTTCACGCCTCCCCGAGCAAGCAGGGAGCAGCTGGCGGGGGTGTGGGGAGCTGGGGCTGAACAGTTCTCTTGGCAGTGGTCTCTTTCAAACAGATCCCTGAAGGGGGACCCTCGGTGAAGACTACTTCCTGTAGAGGCCACCTGTCCCTAGACACTCCCTACTCTGCAATGCCATTGGCTCTATAGACCTGCTCACCTCTTCTGCTGATCCCACTTGCCCCCAGTTTATGCTGCATTGTACACTTACAAGCTAGTAAGTTTGCTTGAAAAGTGTTTTGGGGCCCTGTGTGACACTAAGTATCTATCCTTCAGTGATGGACGGTTTCTGTCTTTCCATCCTGTAGTGTCCTATCTATCCATCTAGGGGAATATCTGGCCACCATTACCCCTCGGGTCAAAGTGCCTGACAATCATATAAGGTGTTCAACATGCCTGCAAGAGAAGGCAGTGCTAATATCCCCATTTTACAGCTGGGGAACTGAGGCCCAGATCCTCAAAGGCATTTAGGCACCTAACTCCTCTGGATTTCAATGGAAATTAGGCACCTAAATACCTTTGAGGTTCGGCGCCTAAGTGACTTACCCAAGGGCATGCAGGGAGTGTGTGGCAGAGCCGGGAATTGAACCTACATCTCCTGAGTCTGGCTCCTTCACTGCAAAGACCCCCTTCATCTCAGAATGGTGCTGTTGTCTCCTCTTGACCTGGTGCCCGAGCAGTAAGAGCATAACACAAGGATGCCCCTCCTCCACCCCTGCAGGGAAAGCTTTTAAATGTGCCAACCATACACCCACGGTGGCTTTCTAGCCGAGCCCCCCGTGACATGTTCCAAGCAAGACCAGCGATGGGCACCATACTCGGGTATAAAAGAGCTGGCAAATCTCAGCCCACGCCCTTGTCACAAGCGGGGTCAGAGTTTGCCGTTACCTGGAGCCTTCCACTCCCTTTGCTTATCACCCTTCGTAAACCTGCCACTCACTCTTATCAGCTGGAGACTGGGAAGGTTTGTGGTTCCCACTGGAGAGCTCGGCTCTGGCTCTGCTGGGACAAATCCTGAGCAAATCAACCCAGCGAAGCACAGTGGTTCCCAGGGCCTCTGCGTCCCCACTGGAGATGGAGCCTGCCCTCTCCCCTCCCCGTGGCAGTAACCGGATCTCGGCCTGCAGACTAGAGGGAGAGCGCTGTGTTTGCTCAGAGTAAGGAACGGACTGGGCCAGGAGGTGGCTGATAACGCTGTGCGGTTTGAGCTCATCTCCAAGCCTGCATGCCCTGGGAAAGCTGCCTCTGGGAACAGGGGGCGTGGGGAACGTACCCAGGCTGAGTGCTAGCTGTTTGGGGCGACAGGCACTGCACAGCGCTGAGTGTGAACTCTGGCGGACAGGCCGTGGGGCTGAGGAAGAGCCCTGCGGGGATCCCAGAGCTCCCATGGCTGGCGTCCCAGCTGGCACTGAGAGGGCAGTCCTGGGGGAAGCTCACACTGGGGATCAGACCCCCGGGGTACGTGGTTGACGGGTCCCGAATCCCAGGAGCGGATACAGAAGCGGGCAGAATGAGTGGGTTTGCAGGGTGTTCCGCCCATCCCTCCTGCTGGCTTTCAGTGTAACAGACTCTGTAAAGATTCCCGCTGTAAGGCAGAGCCCAATATACGTGTCTGGGGCACAACCACTCACTCATAGACATTACTGCCCAGGTCGCTTACTGAAGGCAGCAGGACTATGTGCTGAGTATAAGCAAAGCCGTAGTTTATGGGGGAACTGGCAGAGGCTGATGAGCAGTCCTGGCTGTCTGCCTTTGTATTAAATCAGTTCTTTACCCCACACATTGGCGAGGGAAGATTTGATCCCAGACCCCAGTTCTCTCCGTTCCCGTTTATTTCCTTCTGGCCCCTGGGAAAAGATCCCGATTCAGCAAAATGCTTAAGTCATGAGCAGCCCCACTCCTGCAACACGAGTCCTTGCTGAGTTCAGCAGAACCACTCAGGTGATTTGTGTAAGGGCCTTGCTGAAGCGGGGCCTGTAGCCATTGACCTGTCTTTGTTGTACTGAAGATTCCATGAAAGCTGGTTCTTCGAACAGTTGATTTCAAAGGCAGCAGGTCCCTGGGCTCCTCTGGAGTCTGGGAAACTCTTTAAATAAACTCCTGATAAGGGACAACCCCTGATTTTGAAGAAAGGCAAATCCCAGCTGCCTGAACCCTGGAGATAAACAAACCCACACAATGACACATGGGCTGCATTTGCTCTACAGCAGATTCCTTAGACCCGGGACTGGGTCCAATTCAAATTAGGAATGAGCTTGTTCCTCTCTCACCAGCCCTCCTGGTCCCCGAGCATACCTGTTCCTGCCCTCTCCCAAGCACAGGGCTCCCCACAGGACTTTGCAGAGGGAGAGCCTCCAGGCATGGTAAATGCACATGGCTCAGTGCATACATTGGGACTGCCTCTTCCAATTCCTCTGGGACAGGAACTAGCCGGCTTTGAGCTTCAGCAGGAACCTTAGCCCTTCTTTGCATGCATGGGGAACCTCCACCTGTCTAGCTTAGGTATTGGTAAAACGTCCATGAATTCGGCTAGACGTTTTGGTGTCTTCTGCAATCTGCAAATTTTTATTTATTTATTTATTTATTTTTGCCAAAAAAGATTTGTCCTTTTTTGTGGGGCTGGAAGTGTGTCCACTCCGCTTGGGCCAGGTGTGGTATTTCCTGCCCTGGTGCTGCTCATTGTCCTTTGTGATGGCTGATTGACATATCCATTGCTGCTAACGCATCTCAGGGATGCTCCTGGGTTTCTTTGATCAGTTGTTAATGAATAACAATTATCTTCTGTCCTCTCTTGGTCCTCCAAGCAGGGGATGCCAGCATTGCAAGCTCCTTACACTTCCTTTCCAAGGTGCCTCAGACCCACCCCAGAGGTCCCTCCTCTACGAGAGAGAGAATAGTGCAGTCTCCCTGGCCCATTCCACCCTTAGCCTCCCCCAATTAGTGACAGTGAGGATGGTTTTTGTCATGTGGACACATGTCTGCTGAGAATTGGAAGGAGGCAAACAAGCTCATGTCATCCAGGCCACCAGACAGCCACCACATGAAAGCAAAAGTCAGTGACTATCGCACCTGGATCTCATCCATGCCAAGCTAGCAGCATCCTAGATGAGAGAGACTCTCCAGTCCATTCTGATCCCCCAGGCCACTCAGGTTTCCTGGGCCTTTCAGTTCCCCTGAGACATCTGAAGGAATTTGGTTTCCCAGTAGCCAGGTTCTAGGCACTAGAAAGCTGCTCAGGATGCAGGCTTGGGCCTGCTCATTTCCCCAGGAAGCTAGCACACCGAGCAATGGGGCAGCAGCCATGTTTCATTTCCAGTTCTTGTGTCAGGGTGGCCCACAAAGATCCTGGGGCTCCCACGAAAGCGGGGGAGGAGGACAAGCGGCTCAGGGCTGGAATTTCCGCTCCCCTCTTGGGAAAACATCTTGTTGGCCAAAGCCCCCATTTTACCCAGTTGACATGAAAGCCCTAACTGCTGAGCTCGGAGCTCCTGGGCTGTCTGAGGTAGAGGACGATGCCTGC